CCTTTTTTTTTTTTTTTTTTTTTTTTTCAGAAGCCTTAATTCAAAGATTGGCAGACTTTTCTCTTTAAAGGGCCACATAGTAAATATCTTAGGCTTTGTGGTCCCTATGTCTCTGTCTCAAGAATTTTGCCTTACCATTGTAGGATAAAAACAGCCATGAATGGGGTGTAAGGGAAGGAACATGCTGAGTTCCATTAGATCTTTTCTTTCCATAACATGCAGCAGGCAGATTTGACCTGTGAGTCAAGGTTCACTGGCTCCTACCTTAAGTGAAGTGAGGGTAAAGGGCAGGCATAAAATGGCATGAAATTCCAATGGATGACAGCTAAACTGGCTGCTGTAATCAATATGCCAAAATCGAGTGTAGAAGCTGGGGTGGTGGGTTAAGACACATGAACTTTAACTGCACCGTTCAAAAGCTTACCAATGGAACCTGAAGGGTCCAGGGCGGGCAGGGCCTCCTGACATGACTGTGAATGACTGACTATGTTAGCTTAGGCTGGCACTGTGCCTGGCCAGGATGTGTCCTCAGGACAGGGTCCTCCGTAGGGGGCATTAGCCACCCACAGTGACATTGGTTTCCAGGAAGTAGGAAGTGGGGGTTTGACTCATCTACCAGCTGTGGTTCTCCTATAGGAACCTGTGAAACTCTGGAAATAGAACATTTCTAGGAGCACAGAGCAAAAGAATTAGAGACTGTTATTATGGTTTAGTTTTGTTTGGTTTTTTTGTTCATTCTTGTTTTATTTTTATTTATTATTTTTGTTTTATGTGTATGAGTATATTGCCTGCATGTGTGTAAGTGCACCTGTTTCATGCAATACTCACAGAGGTCAGAAGAGGGCATTACTTCTGAGGTTATGGACGGTTGTTAGCCACTATGTAGAAACTGAATCCATGTCCTCTGCAAAAGCAGCCAGTGCTCTTAACTACTGAGCCATCTCTCCAGCTCCATCATTTTTATTTTCTGAGACAGGGTCTTGTGTAGACCATGTTGCCCTCAAACTCACTATATAGTTAAGGATGACCTTGACCTCCTGAGCCTCTGCCTCTGCTCTCAAGTGTGAGGATTACAGGTATATATCACCATGCTTAGCTCCTATTACAGTTTGAATGTAGAATGCCCAGGTGTTTGAACACATGGTCCCCATATGGTGGTGCTGTTTGGAGGTTGTGGAACCTTTTGGCATGGAATCTGGTTGGCAAAGTAGGAACATGGTATGTGAGAAGTGTGTATGTATGGAGGAGTGGTGAAGGTTTGTAGCCTGATACTGTTTCTGGTCTGAGATCTATGTGCCCTGGTCTGCTGTAAACAAGCCACCTTACTCTTGCTGCTTACAGATAAGATCCAGTCTTAGTTCCTTCTCCACCAGGATGGATTGTATCTTCTGAAACTATGAGCCAAAATAAACACTTCCATTTTAAATTGTTTCCATCAGGTATTCTGTCACTGTAACGAGACATTTAACTAACATAGTTATAGAAGAGGACAGATATCAGCTGTCTTCAAATAGAAAGCAGGGTGGTCACTGGGACAGTGACCCAGAGCCTGAACCATGCCAGCACTCAAGCCTGGCCCCAGTTCAGTTCCAGCATCATGAGCTATGTGGCTGGCCCTGGAGAGATGTGGAATTCCCAAAGCCACAGTGGCAGCCTCTGTAAATTAATCTATTAGCAGACTTGTAATAAAGCACAATGTTCAATGCCTTCCACGTCTTCCACTCATTAAGTGTTAGCTGCTGCTATTACTGCAGTTCTATAATTATTCAGTGATTGAAGGCATGACACTAGCTGGTCTCATGGATGCAGACAGACAAAACCAGAGCCTGAGGCCAGAAGTCCGACTGTCCGGTGGCTTTCTCTTCCTTCTTTTCTCCCTTTCCTTTGAGTTTGCTGGCTTTGCACTGTAATTTCTTTTATTCTCTACCCTTGATGTACAAACACCTCAACATTGCCTTACAGAATTCTACAATTCCGTCTCTATAAAAAAAAATTCAAGGAGACTTTGAGGCCATATGACGTGAAGGATGTGATCGAGCAGTATTCTGCAGGACATCTTGACATGCTTTCCAGGATAAAGTACCTTCAGACAAGGTAAGCCATTCACATGGGAAACAGCTCTGTTCCTTCAACTACCCAGAAATCCAAGCCATGTGACCATAGAGTCTAAAGTGAAGGGCATTCAGCAGTAATCCAAAATGCATCAGAGACACTCAAGAACAGAAATGTCCATCAAGCCTGCTGATGGGCAGACCAACAAGCTTTACTCCAAGCCTCAGGTTGAAATGGAGGTGGAGGGAGTGGCCCTATGGTGATCAGAGGCTGCCCATCCCTTCTAAAGGACATGACTTACTACATTTTTGTTGTTAACTTTCTAAAATGGGAGTTCTGTTTCCAAATAACCTACTTGTTCAAGGCTGCAGAGAAGCTCTGTGACACTGCCATGGCCAAAGTCAACTCCCTGATAGAGACAAGAAGGTATGTGTCCAACTAGCTCCTGACTATGATGTTTAGATACTTACCACAAAATCAGGATCATTGAAACTGGGTGCAGCTAATTCTAAATACAAGATTTCAACCAATTTTTTAAAAAATTCGTGTTATTTATAATTGTGAAAATAGAGAAATAGCATTGTTATTCAGCTACTGATTGCTACCATTTAGGGGTATTTGTTAGATTAGTCTACCACTTTCATTGAGCTCCTAGGTGTTCACGTATGTGTATTGAGAATCCTGTAAGGTATTCATGGCACTAGCACCCTAATTCTGATGAGGAAATGAAAGTTGTAAGGGCAGAGGACTAGCCCTCAAATTGCCCAGTCAGTAAGTTGAAGACCACACAAATAAATATATGTGCATCACATATAATATCATCACAAGATCTAGAAAATAACCCCACCTAGATCTATTAATCGTATTAGTATGCTTATATGTGTATGATATGATCACAAAAATGGGCACATATCTAGTCAAAAGTATGCATGGCATGTGTATATTCTCTCATACAGGAGCCTGAGAGAAATGGACATAATTCGAATTGACATGGGCTTCAGCCTCCGTTTCCCTGCTCCCTGTCTTACTGACTTAATGGGAGCACATCACTGATGAGGTTACAAGTTAGTGATGGTATCAGGTTGGGGGTGTGATTTTTCATAGCCTCACTTCGTTCTTAACTGGGATATCAACTTGGACTGCATTGCATAGTGGCAGGCAGAAAGTCCGAGTTCAATGCCTGCTGAACAAATGATCTGTAAAGAAATTCTCAGCCCTGCATGCTATTGTTTTTGCTATTTGAGAGATAGAGGAAGAAAGCGTGTTGCCCACAACAGTCCAGACTCCAGAAATATCAGCCTGTTTTAATGGTCACAGAATAGATTGTTACACTGTCATGATTTTTTATATTTATAAGAAAATGTATTTCTAGGTGTTGTGGCTAGAAGTTGCCTGCCAGGATGACAAATGACACAACACCAGCCATGTGGATTCTCCAGTGGGCCAGACAGTGTGGAGGGCTGACTTAGAATGATGCCTGGAGTGTCTGTTGGAAATGCAGCTGGGTGTCCAGAGGGGAACCTGAGGCAGGACCTTCTCTGGGTGCATCTTAGTGGTCATCCTGGCACCCCACCCTTGCCCCTGCTCCTGTCCCACAGCATGATGGAAAACATTTCTTCTGTTGATCCTGATACAGAAGAGAAGCAGGTGCTTCGTGCACAGATGAGGGTTCAGGAACTGGGGCTGGCCCATCCTTTCATTGTTAGAGATGTCTGCAAACATCAGGGGCCAACACAGCTGAAAATGGAACCTAGGGTATGGCAGTAAAAATTCTCTAGTTAGACAGTTTGGGAAGAGTGAAAGAGTTGGGAGATGAGATGGGCTTGTAGCACATCTGTAGAATTTTCTGTAGGAAATAAGATGTATCCCCCACCTGGTCTCCATGGAATGTCTCCCTTGGTATCCCCTGGAGATGAGAAAATGGTCCAGACCAAAAGAGATGACAACGTACTGGCGTGGCAGTTTCTCCGTCTTGTTTCTCTCTGTATATCTGTTTCTCTGACCTTCTTCTCTTCTCTTACATTTCCAAATCCACATTTGAATTCAGAAATGGATTTTTTTTCTAGTAAAAAGATATCTTTACACAATCTAATCTTGCCTTTTTCTTTCTTTCTTTCAGAATAGATATGATTTTCACCCCTGGACCTCCATCCACTCCAAAACATAAGAAGTCTCAGAAAGGGTCAGCATTTACCTACCCATCCCAGCAATCTCCAAGGTGGGGCTTGTGGTCGTGGGCTGATGGACTGTTGAGCACAAGATCTATGGAGGAGCCTCATCCCCAGATCTCAGCTTGGGTCCTTTATGTGGGTGAAGTGGTTTCTCCCCTAAAGGAAATGAAGAGCGTTTGAGGGCTGATTCAGGTTGTGGCCGTTTGAAAGTCTGTACCAATGACTTGCCCCTTTTCCAACACCACATAAATTATACTTCTTTCTGTGGTTTTTCTTTTTTTTAATGTTTTCTTTTACTTTTATTTTATGGGTATGTATGTATATGCTTGCATGTGTAAGTGCACCTATGTTGTACAATGCCCTCAGAGAACAGAAGAGGCTGTTGGATCCCCTGGAACTGGAGTTATGGACAGTTGTTAGCTGCCATGTGGGTGGTGGGATTTGAACCTGGGTCTTTTGCAAAAACTGCCAGTGTTCTTAACTGCTGAGCCATCTCTCCAGCCCCTTTCTGTGGTTTTTCACGTTGAAAATAACCAGTTCCTTGAGTTTTGTTAGAAAAGGAAGACTTTTCTGTGTTAGCAAAGCTTATGAATCATTGGCCAGTTCATTTGATTTCTCCTGCACATCTCTTGTGGGCTGATTGATACCCTTCTCAGGACAAAGTTAGAGAACACATTCAGATGTTAAGGCCCTAACAGCATTGTAAGACACAGAATTCTCCCTCCAAAAACTGTTTCAAATTTCTGAACAAGTATGTGTCCTTTATGAAGTCCATTTGCATTTTTACGTCTTTGAGGCAAACAACATAAATGAGTGACGGAACATTATACACTTTCCTTTTAGAAGCAAGAGCATGAGTTTGCATCTACTCTTCAGCCTCAGGCTTGGTGTGGAGTAGGAAGTAGTGGAACCATGGTGCCGGGAGGTTTGCATGCCCCTCTAAAGGAGATGGCTGTTACTATGTTGTAGTTAATCTTAAGAGACTGCTATTCCAGACAGTCCAGTTTTCCACATCTAAATATCAAACTATCTTGGTAAATTCTCCTTTTCATCTTTATTTATTTTAATCAATTGATTAATCAATTAAATAATTAATTTGGAAGTTTTTTTTGTTATTTGTTTTGTTTTGATTTTTGAGAGAAGGTCTCACTACATAACCCTGGCTGGTCTCAAACTGACTCTGTAACCCAGGCTGGCTTTAAATCCATGGCAATCCTCTGCCTCAGCCTCCAGACTACTGGGATTATAGGCATGCAAAACCACACCCAGATAACAGTTTCTCCATTTTTGAAATGGTATTTTGAGGTGTTTTAAGAACTGTGCAGAGCTAGGGTATGATACATAGGATACACCTGCAATCCCAGCATTTGGGAAATGGGCTCAGGAAGATCTTGCATTTGAGGCCATCCTGAACTAGAGAGACCCTATCTCAATAATAATAATAATAATAATAATAATAATAATTGAGATAAAATAAAATAGCATTATGTGAGGTGTTTTCTATGCATACTCAGCTGGACTCTTCCAGCAGACTTCCAAGGCAGACAATGTTGTCATCTCTGTACCATGCATGAGAAAACTGACACTTTGGGAATGTGAACAACTCCTAAAGTCACAAAGCTAAGAGAAAGCATCAGAGTTTGACAGAAGCCCAAAGCAACGAGAAATTGTGGAGCTCATCCTGCATGAATTTATAATGTAAGCAAGCATTTGCCCAGAAAATAAATAAAAGGAAATTCAAAAGAAGCTCTAATTTTCCCATGTTCATTATTGAATTTTGATTAAATATCAAATTGGACTTCCAAAACAATAAAATAAAATGAAAACTACTCAGGACAAAGGAAGCAGTAGTGGTCTGGATGTTGCACTCAGGTCACCATTGTTTGAAATCTGCTTTAACTCAAGACTGTTCAGCCAAAGGCATTAACTTGGCAGAGGCAGAGGCTTATGAGAGAGACGAAAAAGCTACCAAGAAAGAGCCCAATGTGAATGCTTTTTAGTAACAGGGAGGTTCCCTCAAGCCTCTCATCTGCATAGAAAATAAAAATACTGGAAGGAGGGTTGGGCATAGTTGTAACATCTTTAATCCCAGCACTCGGGCGAAGGTAGAGGCAGACAAATTTCTGTGAGCTTGAAGCCAGCGTGATCTACAATAGTGAGTTTCAGACCATCCAGGACTACACAGTGAGACCTTGTCTCAAAAAAGAAAAAATATTGTAACAAACTAGAATTTAAGAAGACACCAATTTTCCATTGTCTGAGAGAAATTCCCACCTTCCTCGTGTTCCCGCCAGCATTACTTCCAGATTCAGCACGTGTTTGCCATTCTCAACATATGTAAAATATTTATGAATTTCAGTCCATAGAATTTCAGAGATCAGACAACTCCTCCACCACCCTCACAGAGCAGAGGTTCTGAGATTGAAAAGCAAAGGAACTTAATGTAAAGGAACAAAATAGTCCAGGTGTTGCTAAGCAGTTTGTTAAACTTAACACAAAGCAAAGCCTCCTTCATAGCAGTCTTCAAGTCTTCCTGCTGTGAAGGCAAACATGAAGTGGGCTTTCCTGACTGCGTGCTAAAGGATTCCTCCAGGCTTTGTCGACATGTGAGTCAGAATAATGGTCCCACATGTGTGGTCTTCCTAGATGGAATGGCCTTGCAAAGTCAAAACAGGTACACCATGATCTCATAGGACTGTTGGCTTTTCCTTAGGAATGAACCATATGTAGCCAGAACATCCACATCAGAAATGGAAGACCAAAGCATGATGGGGAAGTTTGTAAAAGTTGAAAGACAGGTGAGCCCTTCTTTTCCTTCACCGAACTTATTTGCAAATGCCATTGTTTTCATAAGAAGATACCTTCCGCCTAAAAAAGGATGTGGAAATGAATTCCCTGATTCCACTTTTGCTGGCTGGTTCATTGCATGTAAGTTAATTATTGTTTTGACCTCACATTTGCTTGCCTGTAGTACAAGGAATTCAATACCTCATAAAGTTGCTGTGAGGATTCAGTGAGCTGATACATGTGAACTACTCAGACTAATAGCTCCTGTACACTGAATGGTGACCACTATCATGACGTGCTCCATGGTGGTCTCATAAGAGACATTAGTCCTCTGTCCTATATCTCATGGTCTTTTCATTCTCTTTGGCTCTAGTCCCTCCCTGTGAGTGACCTGTATGAGAAGATCAGGCAGGAGGCAAGCTAAGGGTTAGGTGCATTCAAGGTACAAAGAAAACCCCATGTAGCCCATCTGTTTAGTACACTGCAAAAAGTCGCACATTCTAGCATCATGTGCCTAATTTTGCACTAGATAAATGGCATCATCAGTATCCTGTAAGACCTACATCAATCCTTTCATCAGTAACCCAAGATTGGACTCATGTAGAAGAGACAAGAGAAAATGTGAATGATCGGTCTATTTTGGTATATCAAAAATCTTGTTTCTCATTTTAAATTATAATCTTATTATGTTTAGTGCCTCTGTGACCATTCACAAGTTATGTCACTACCCTAGTCACTGCTTCCTTGCATGTGAAATAAAGGTCACAACAGTATTTACCTTGTGAAGCTGTGAGAATTAAGAAAGTCAATGAAATGCATAAAATAGAGTCCGATAGTTGCTATCTTCATATTCGCTGCAACTAAGGCCTGAGTGCATCTCTGCCATTACTATCTGAGCTTTATTACCTCATCTGTCCAGTGAGGTGATTCTCTTACCTGACCTGGTAAACTGTGGATTGTCAGAAGGGGGATAGCACACACACACACACACACACACACACACACACACACACACTCACACAGAGCATTTGTACTCAAACATTCAAATCTGGTCGCACTTTAGGAATGTAAAAGCCAAAACAGAGGCAGCTTCCACCATTGCTCAAAGTCCCCCAGGTGGTCTTCAGTTCTGCAAAACTCCATTCCTGCTGACGCTGCCCTCCAAAGCTCATGTCCCCATGTACACTGACAGCATGTGCTTGCATATGAGGAAATGTTCAGAAATCAAGAACCCCACTCCTTGACTAAAGTAGTATGAGCAAAGCTACCTCCTCCGTCGGGGACAAAGATGGCCTGAGACACTTACTCTTGAGCTACCTGTGTGTCTCCAGCCTTTGACTCCAGGAGGTGCATGCCTATGTTGTTTCTAGATGAACACTAATATTTGTGCAGGGCATTCTGGCAAGAGTCATGGAGGTAGTTGCAGCTGCTTTCATTACCAAGACTTCTGCAAAGCAGGAGCACAGTCTTTCCTCCCAGCCTCTGAGAGCAACCTTCATCCCCAGAGGGAGCAGTGATCCTAGTTCCTTGTGTTTTTCAGGTTCACGACATGGGGAAGAAGTTGGACTTCCTCGTGGACATGCACATGCAGCATATGGAGCGCCTACAGGTACACATCTCTGAGTACTACCCAACCAAGGGGAGCTCCTCGCCAGCGGAAGGAGAGAAGAAAGAGGACAACAGGTATTCTGATTTGAAGACCATCATCTGCAACTACTCTGAAACAGGCCCCTCGGAGTCCCCCTACAACTTCCACCAGGTGCCCATCGACAGAGTCGGCCCCTATGGGTTTTTTGCACATGACCCTGTGAACCTGACCCGAGGGGGACCCAGTTCTACAAAGGCTCAGGCCACCCTTCCCTCCTCCGCAAGTACATATGCAGAGAGGCCTACAGTCCTGCCTATCTTGACTCTCCTTGACTCCCACGTGAGCTACCACTCCCAGACAGAACTGCACGGCCCCTATTCGGACCACATTTCACCCTGCCAGAGACGTAGCATCACACGGGACAGCGACACACCTCTGTCCCTGATGTCCGTCAACCATGAGGAGCTAGAGCGGTCTCCAAGTGGCTTCAGCATCTCCCAGGACAGAGATGATTATGTGTTTGGCCCCAGTGGGGGATCGAGCTGGATGAGGGAGAAGCGGTACCTGGCGGAGGGGGAGACAGACACAGACACAGACCCCTTCACACCCAGCGGTTCCATGCCTCTGTCATCCACTGGGGATGGCATTTCGGATTCCATATGGACCCCTTCCAACAAGCCCACTTAGAAGGGGTCACTGGCTGACTCCTGGTACTGTAGACAGACTTTGTATAGCTCACTTATTCTCACACCCAGCACTTACAGTGGGGACTCCAGTGGCTGTGTCAAGCGCATGCATGTGCGCAGTGGTCCCCCTCTGCAAGCCGGGGCTTCTACTCATGGCCTTCTTCCTCTCGTGTCACCGCAACAAAGCCGCTTCCTTTTCAGCATGGTTTGCATGACTTGACACTATATAAATGGCACCACTAGTCTCTTCTAGAATACACATTTATCTGCTGTTCTTACTTTAATCATGATTGGACCAGTACAGGGAGAATTATTGACGAGCCGTGCTATTTGTTTATTTGGTTGGCTGGTTTGGGTTTGATTTGGTAATCAGAGAGTATAGTTTATTTCTAGGATCACTACCCCGTTGTGTAAAATGCTTCAGTAATTAACCGTTTTCTAAAACAAAGAAAGTTTTTCAACCAAAACACATTGCATTGCAATGAGGCTGCCTACTGAGCAATCAGGAGGGAAAAACGTGACAGTCAGTCAACCTCCAAAACCAAGAATTTAAAAAATCATTTTATTAAGGGAAAGCTGATAAAAACCATTTAAAAGTCTCCAAAGGGACCTCCTGGAATCTACTGTTGTTCAGTACTGTGCTTGGTTTCCCCATCTGCATAAGGTGTTGGTAATCCAAAATGTAACATCTCATGTGTTATGAATTGGTAGGGAGAAACCTCACATACATACCACAAACACAGAAATTAAAATAGTTCCCAATTTATTTAGCCAAAGATAATGAAATTTACCAGAAGTGGGGTGCCCCTCTGGGCAGGAGCTAGAGTCAGTGTCTTCAAAATGAGATTCCAACTCATTCTTCCCTATGTACTTAAGTCCAAAGCAGAAATTAGAATCAAGGGAAATTATCTTTCCCAAATCATTCTATTTAAGAGTGAGAAATTTGGGTCTTGGGTAAAAATGCCCAGAGTCACCTGATTGTCCTATGGAGAGTCAGGATGCAAAACTCTACCTGATGACTCCTCACTGCTCCAGGCTCCTCTCACATTACTGTACTCTTTGCACACCGAGACCCAGAAATCGAGCCAAGACACAAGGACTTCCTGTGAGCAGGAAGTAATCCTCATAGTTTATTAAGAGGGAGGGAGATGCCTGCTTTGACTCCAAAACATTCTTGTTAGATACTTTACATTTGGGATCCAGAAAGAGAAGGACATAAGCAAACTAGTTACAGATATGCGAATAGGGAAAATTCCCAGATTCATCTAATTTCACACCTCCATTTTTCGTCAATGAAAATACTAGAACCACACAAATTTATAAAAACCACTGAAGTGTTCTCCAACAACCTGGAAAGCCCTGCCCTGTAGCACAAGTGTTGATGTTAAGCTCTAGTCACCCCAGGGCCTTTTCAGCCACTTGCTGAAAAGCTCTGATAGAAAAGGTGATTAGACTTGGGCTATACTTGTTAGATGACTAGACTACACCACAGTAGTAGTGTCTTGGTCTTTTCATGCATCTAAGCACTCTTTGTAAGCGGTTGTCATGGTGACCATCAGATGGTAGAAATACTCTAAAGAAGCATTTATGTACGACTGCTACCTGTGCTGTCACTCACAGTGTTATCAAGAGCCATAGTGACCATGGCAGATGTTTTCATGGTTGATGGTTTCACCATTACCTCATGTAAGTATTCTGCCCTGTTTTGGGGAGAAAATCCTCAGAGACTGGTTCCTTTCATCCCACATGCCAGTAGGTCCTGTACAAAAGGCTGAGAATATAATAATGATGAAAGTTTGTCCCCTGATTATAGGAACTTAAAATCAAAGTCTGCATTTCTGTGGACAAAGGTACACACTGCAACTGGCAGTAAGGTATCTACATGGAGAGTCCCCTGAATGGATGGATGAACACTGATCTTGAAGTCCAAGTCAGGAGGTACATAAGAAGAGTCACACACATTAGAAGTAAAGCCTTCCCTCTATGGCTTTTTCATTTGAGTTTCTGGCAATCTGAAAGGCAGAGGCCATGGACCATTTAATCTTGTTCCCCCAATCCTTTCAATACGTTTTCAATAATGCCATAGAGTCTATAATCTAAGAAACCTAATGCTTCTTCCTGGGGACTCGGTTCTTGAATCTGCTTTCCCTAGATTTTTTTGTTGTTGTTGTTTTGCCAGAAATGGCTATGCTGTCTAGCACCAACATGTTGCTAAATTTTTATGCATATGAGTTATTGGAAACAAAGATTTAGAATGAATCAAACTTCCCACATAAGTCCTGCATGCTTTTTTCTAACATATTAGCATTCTTTCAGAACTTCCTAGTATTTGTATATTATAAATAGATGCATTTCCCAGAAATTCAATGGCATTCTTGATCAAGAGTGAGATGTTCTTATCCTCATCAATCTAAAGTCAGAGAAAACACATCAGGTTCTTTTGATTGGAGTTTGCATTATTTTCAAGGCAACCCATAAGTGAGTAGTCTTACTCCCTTGCTTATTCAAAATCAGAGTGGTTTTGTGACAATCACCAACTTACTAGATGTCTCTGGCATCTAAAAAGTGATCTATATCAATGTAGGCACAGACAAAATGCACATTTCATAATGGAGTAATGATAAGAACCTTAAGACCTGTTCTTTCCTATCTAAGAAACCAAGTAGGAAAAGAAAGATGATCAGGAATAGTTTTAATAGCCCTTTTAAAAAAAATTATAGGCAAGCAAACCAAACCTACCCATATGACCTACCCAAGACTGCATGTCTGACATGGCTGACAGCAAGGCCTCAGAAGTCCAGTCTGTGGTTAAAAGAACAGTATGTGTTTATACAAAGGCCTTGTTGTCAGATAATCGCAGGGTGGAGTAATCCAGCAGAATTGGATAACATGTTCCAAAAGCTATGCCAGCGGGTTCTGCACTGCACCCAGGAAACCACAGGGAAACCGAAGTAGCAGCAAACTAAGTATGATTTTCTAGGTAAAACAATGATCTCATTATATATATTTGGCCAATATGTTTTATAATGATATATTTAAATTTTTTAAAAGTAGAGCTAGAAGTGTAATTTAGTGGTAGAGCACTTGCTTATACAGAGAGAGAGCAAGAGAGAGAGAGAGAGAGAGAGAGAGAGAGAGATTTAAGATAAGTTTTAACAAGATCAAAATGCTCATTGAAAAGTAATCCTATTTGGCTGAGAAAAAGAGAAAATGCCTTATAAATGCTCATTAAGCATAATCCTATTGGGATGAGAAAAAAAGTAAGACCAAATATGAAGTTTGACTATTAAATATTATCTCACAGCAAACACTAAAAGCTTTAGAAAATAGAATTGTGGGAAGAAAAAAACACTGAAATGAGAGTTATTTTCAATAACTGGAACTATATTCATTTTTTAAAATTAGAATTCAGCTTGCTACACATGACCCTGATATCATAAAACCCCAGTTTTGTGAAAATTTAACTAGAAAACACCAAAGTGTATAAGTTAAACCAAACTAATTAACCAACAACTATGCACCTTATATGTATTCTGTGAAGGAAATTCCTAGACATTGTAACTTGAGAGTAACTGCCTATAAAAACCCCAAGACAACAGAATCTACTCACAATTCACGAAACACATTCTCATAATTCTGAGCTAGTATGAGAATGCAATAAGGAAAAATTCACTTGATTATTTATTTAGCAAGGTTTATTAAGAACTAGTAAATACCAAGCAACAGAAATTGAGAGATTAGAAAGCCAGTTTCTGCCACAAGAAAGCTGGTAGCCTCAAATGTTGGTGGTCCCTTCGGGCTCTTCCTGCTGGCATCGGAAAACACCAGATTTCATGGCCGCAGACTTCTGCTCACCAATAGGATTGCTTCCTACTGGGAACAAATGGAAGTCAACATAGAAGAAAGTGGAAGAAAAAATTGCATCAAAATGATAATGAACCTGTTACCTCATGGAAAGCAGAATACATTAAACAGAAACTTTGAGTTTGAGTTCATTGTCTGGAGAACTCCAGATAAGCAATGTGGACAGACCTCTGAAGAAAGTACTTGGAAAAAAATAGCTTTCTCCTCTCTAAATCGCTGCCATGATGGAAGCCAGACAAGAAGCTGAGATGCTTCTATTTCATCATACTGACCAAAAAGGACCTGGTACAGGTCATTCCACGGCATCTATCCGAAGAGAAGGGGGTTACTCTGTCCATGGCACCTTCAGATCGAATTCTTTGGGAGAAAAAGAAGATGTGTTTTTAGAAGTTCACTATACCTCTGACAGGGCTGACAGACACCCTGCCTCCCACAGCCCATTGCTTCTGCAGAGGATGCTGCACAGAAGCTCTTCAGTTCTCTCCCACATGTTCCCAAGGGATCGTTGCTTTGATTTCCAAGCTTGAGAGTTTGTCTTCACTTGTCTCCAAAAGCACATTATGTCCAGAGTGAACTTCTATACCAAACAAACCCAAGATTCTCATGCTGCTGGTGTTACACCATTCAAAACTGAGCCAACTGTCTCCTAAACAAAGCAGCAGGTAGTATCTCACTGGTATCCAGCTTAAGATATGTTAGGGGCTTGGTTATCTGTGTAGCTTTCATAGTTTTGGAAACCATAAAATGGTAATGGTGGTGTTAAAGACATGAGAGGGGTATAGGGATGTCTTGTATAAAAATTTGAGACACTCAAAAATATTTAACTCTTCTAGTCTATTTTAAATTTCACATGAGACAATCAACTATGTATTGATGGGCAATACATAGTACAGTGACTGGCATATACCCAGGACTGTTTGATTATTCGTGTTCTGTTTCTACAGTGTGTGTAGACTCCATTGCATCAGTTACTGATATTGTTTCATGTAACTCTAAATTTACACCAGAAAATTTTTTCAGGAAAAAGGGACGATAGAGACACGATCCAAACTATTACATGGCAAGATCAGGCACTTTTAGTTACTCTTCAGTTATGTACCTGTCCACAATAACCATAATTATTTTTCCCATCAAAATGTGGGAGAAGGAATATACTGGAAAGGACAGCAAGAGGATTGGTTCTTAGTGACTAGGCCGTGGGTGTTCTTTTGGACAAAGAGCACCAGACATTGCAATATTCTCTATACAATGATAATTAACACGAGATATCAAACAAGAGGGCTAATTGAATATGAAAAGAAAGTCAAGTGTGATGGCAGTGACTGGACAACATGCTTTCCATGAATGGGACATCTTCAGGAAGAGACTGTGGACTTGCTCAACTTATTCCCCCACCTTTACCAGCCTCAGCTTCAGCATC